GGGAGAAAGAGAGGAGAAAAGACAGAGAGAATAGAATTGCTACAGGAGGAGAAGGGCTGGGGAGAAAGGCCAGAGGCAGGGGCCGAGCTGTTACCCCGGCAATGACGCCAGGGGATGCGCGTCAGTGGGACAGCCACAGCATAACCAGGCAAAACACAAAGGTCAAAGGAAGCCCAAAACTTTTACACAGTGGTTAGCAGGACAGTGAGGGGGCCAAGGGCCCCCACACAATCCAGCAGGTGCCGATCTAGACAAGGTGTGGGTTGCCTGTCCTGGCCTAGGGGAAGGAGCCGGCTCCCCAAGGCAGGTGGGGGCGGTCGCCCAGCACCAGGCCTCTGGATTGGCTCTGGGTGTTTCCAAACAGTCTTGGCTGGAATTTGGCCGGAGTCCTAAAAAATCTATACACGGTCAAGAGGGAGACTAGTAGTTTGGGGGCAGGAAAGGGGTTTTCCCTCCTTGTTCTCTCAAGCTCTGGCTGGCTCAGGGAACATTTTTTTTTAACAAATAAGCTGGAAGGTACCCAGCTGACCCCTGTCCTGCAGGGGAGAAGGCTTTGCTGGTTCAACACCAGCCTTGGGGATCTGGCTGGGCTCCCACCCCATCTCAGACCTTCCAGCCCAGGCCCTCGGTTCCTTTGCTGGGCTCTGTCCTCCATGGTCCCCAGGCCTGGTCTGCCCTTTCTCTTTTCCCATCTCAGAAACTAAGACAGACCCAGCCTGACTTGGACGGTGATGAGAGGCTCTGCCTTAGTCTCTCGGGGCTCCAGGAGAAGGGCCGGCCTCCCCACCCCTCCTGAGACCCAGGAGGAAGAAACTTCTCCATTTCCCAGAAGCTGCAGGTGCCGCAGATCTTCCTGGCGGGACGCATCCTCTCCCCAGGAAGAGGGGTCCAGGTCAGTGGCCAAGTTTGTTCTCCCTCGGCCTAAGGGCCTCAAAGGTCAAGGTGAGGAGGGGTTCTAGCCAAGGAGTCAGCAAGGTTTCTCCAGGCGCTGGGAGGGGTTGCTCGGCAGCATCCAATCCGGTCTTTGCCAGTTCAGGGCTCAGTGAAGGGGAGGCGGCCAGTGCCTCCTTGAATACACAGGTGTGCTCTGCAGGCAGATGCACAGAAAGACGACACTGCCAGGCAAACTGACCCTAGAGCTGTCCCTGTCCCTACTCCACAGCAACCATCACATACTGACTGGGTGTGCATGACACTGCGCGGGGCTCGAGGAAGATAAAACGTACGGCGTACCAGAGAAAGGGCAGCATCAAGAAGACTCAGGTTTGAAGCCTGCCTCTGCCACTCACTGCCACATGGCCTGGTGGGGCAGGCTGCTTAACCTCTCCTGGCCTCAGCTGCTTCAACTGAAGAGTGGGACTATAAGAGGCTCCACCTCAAAGGTGGTTCATTTGGTAAATATTTCTTGAGCACCTACTATATGCTGGATACCGTCCTAGACCTGGAGAACAGTGGAAACCAAAAGCAGCCCTCAGGGAGGTTCCATTCTTTCACGGGGCTGCTGTGAGGACCCACTGAAATGATGCTTAGCACTGCGGTCTGGTATATAGGAAGGGCTCAACAAATATTACCTATTCTTAGCTTTCAGGGTCCCTGCCTTTAGGAAGCCAGGGGGAGAGCCAGCAATTCCACTCCTAGGTATATACCCAAGAGAATGGACAAAAGGGACTCAAACAAAAACTTGTACATGAATGTTCATAGCGTTCTATTCACGATAGCCAAAAGGTAGACACAACTCAAGTGTCCATCAGCAGATGATGGGGTAAACAGCACATGGCATATCCATACAATGGACTATTATTTGGCCATGAAAAGGAATGAAGTTCTCATACGTGCTACCACAGAGATGGACCCTGAAAACATTATGCTCAGTGAGAGGAGCTAGACACGAAAGACCACATATTGCATGGTTCCATTTATATGCAATGTCCAGACTAGGCAAATCCATAGGGACAGAAAGCACTGAGTGGTTGCCAGCGGTGGGGGGAGAGGGGAACAGGGAGTGGCTTCTCATGGGTACAGAGTTTCTGTTTGGGGCGGTGAAAAAGTTCTGGAAGAAGATATTGGTGGTGGCTGTACAACATTGTGAGTTAATTAATGCCACTAAATTGGATGCTTTAAAATGGTTATCATGGTAAATTTCATGTTATGTGCACTTGACCACAATCAAGTTAAAATGATGGAGATGGAGAAGCAGCAGCAGGGAGAGAGGGGGAAGACATGCCCAGACGGCAGGCAGCACAGGTGTCAGGTAAGCGAAGCAAGGGAGCGGAAGGTGCCTCGCCACAATCTCCGATGGGTCCTTTTTCCTTCCTGTCCTCTAGAGCGGCGAGGCATTCCTAGGCCTCTGCAAGATTCGCTTTGTGGCCGCTGACAATAAGGGGAGGCAGGTGGCTCCCAAGATGGGCTTCCGCTTAGGACACGCCACTCAAGTGCCTATGAGTCTGTATCTCCAGGGCTCCCGTTTTCCTGCACACGCACAGCGTGTCTCCTCTCACGTGTGGGTCCCAACACGCACGGCCCTGCCCATCTATCCGCCTGCCAGGCTCCCGGATGACTTTTGCTGTGGCCCAGCCTCACGGAGCAACACGCTGCCTTCCAGACGCGGGAGGAGGATCCGAGTCAATGACTTCCCCAATCGCAGGGGACCTAAGGCTCCTCAAGGTCAGGGAGTTCCACCTTGCAGGGAAAACCGAGGATAACCAGAGCCAGGCCCTCGGGGTGCCCCCCAAACCTTCACCCTACCCTCCCGCCTGCTCCCGAATGCTATGCACACATAAACCCCTGCCTTGGCCCGGGAACTGTCAGGAGATCAACAAACAAAAGCTGCTTCTTGACAGGGAGTCATTTATATTTTAGCTTCGTTCCATTATCCTAACGAATCCTTCATCAGCAGATGCAATATTAACAGCAGAAAATCAGCTCATTACATCCGGGGGGATTTCATCAAGACGGCAATCATGTATGCAGCTCCCCAAGCCTTCAAGAGGCCAGTGTGGCTGTTATTTATTTATTTTGTTACTTATTTATTTAATTTTGGGGGTTCTTTCCACATAATTGCACCGCATCTCAGATCTTTAATAAATAATTTGTAGGTCCTGACCTGCAGACAGCTTTGCTCACTGCCATGAGAACTTGCATTAGCCAAAATATTTACCAATATTTAAAAGTCATTAGAATCAGGAGGGAAGTGGGGCGGGGGTCCTCCGTTCTAGAAACGGCCTGGTATGGGGCTACGGTGCTTGGCTCCCGCTGCAGTCCTCCAACTCCCATCTCTTGGTGTGAGGGGGGCCATCTGGTTTGGAAGCTCCTGGAGGGCAGGCCCACACTGCCTCTCTGGGCTCACTTAGTTTGAGCAGGGGATTCCTGGGAGCTCTCAGAGAGGGGTGTGACCATCCGTCAGGATTCCTGTGGGCCTCTCACCACGGATGGGGGGACCTGGCTACTGGAAAGGATCTGGTACAGTGGCAAGAACCCTTCATATGCCTGAGCTGGAGCGTTCTTTTGGGGTGGCACTCCCTGGGTTCACCCGATGTGGGGGCGCTCAGCAAAGGAAGCCTTCATGGTCCTCCAGCAGGCCCTGGCTCTAGTTGTAGCGGAGAGTAAAGAAAAGTCTGACCTGTTCCTCTTGGCTTCCCAAGGTTAGGCCTTAGACATCAAAGGAAAGGGAGTTCAGTGACTCCAGAAGGCAGACCTGTCCCATTTTACAGATGCAAAAACTGAGTTCCAACCAACCTCAGCTCTCTTCCCAAGGCCACACAGCTAGGAAAAGGCCCAGAACCAGGATTCACCCGTGAAGCGGCTCTGCTGCGCCTTCTTCCTTTCCACTAGGCTGGGCCTTCCAGTGAAGGCAGCCCGGCCTTCCGAAGGCTCCAGGGCCTGACTCACAGGCTGAAGTGGCCACTGGGGCCGACAGGCATCCCCCTGCCACCAATGCTGGCCTGGCCATGCTTTCACAGGTTTTTCCCAGCGGGGTCTGGATTTCTGCCCAGCCAGGAATGTGCTCCCAGGATGTCAATTCTAATCTCCCCAGCGCTCTGACAGAATTAAGCTCCAGTTTGTCCGACAACATCCCAAAGTTTCAGAAATCCAGGGCAGACTCTCTAATCAGGCTGCAGGACAAAGGTCTGGCCTGACCCTGTCACTTCCATTTACTCCTCCTGTCTGTCTCCTGGCTGCGGCCTTTCCGCGGCTTCCTCCACCCTCTGCCCTTCTCTGGCCAGCTCAGCCCCTACCCTCTCCTCCAAGCGCCTCTGTTTCTCCGCCCAGCGTTTCCCCTCGCTAAGCAGCGGGGCTAATCCCGCTGCTCCGCGATCTGAGGCCGAGGAATTCCTATGAGAATGACCTGCGGCTAGGCTAGCGCTAGGCCTGCTGGCCTCCCCCCCCCCCCCCCCCCCCGGCCGGGGCTGCCCCTGGTTCACTGCCTCTCGGGAGGTCACAGGCTCAGCTCCTCCTCGCTCTCAGTGCACGGTTGTGTTCAAACTCCACTTGCCTTTAGTCAGTCTGCCCCTGGGCCCCCTGTAGCTGCCCCTGAATCATCCTTTGGCCTCACCCAACCTCCATTCTATTTAAGGGCTCAGCTTGTGGACCCTGGAGAGCCTTGGCCCTCTCGCCATGTTTGGGGACACACATGTGGGCAGTGCCCTCCCCTCCTCAGCCAAGCCTTCACGGCACCAAGAGGAACATGGGATGGAGGACAGCAGAACCCGGGATGGGCAGGCCCCGGTAAGGACCCCAAGCCCTTGGCTCTGCTGGGCTGTGGCCATTAGAAAGAGGTGAGGAGTCCAGAGCTAGACAGCTGGACCAGGAGAAGTGCCCTGTGCAGCCAGAGAAGCTAGAGAAGCAGAGGTGCCTCCTCCACTACCCCCAGCACCCAACTCTCTCCCCTTCTACGAGGTTCTCGGCTCTCATACGGATCCAGAGCACTGATTCCTGGTTTCCAGAGGAAGTTGGATGAACAAACTGGTTGGAAGAGGCAAAACCTTTATAGCATGTACAAAAAGGCAGAGGTGGGGACCGTGGCTTAAATCTGGTTTGCTCACGTCAAAAGATTCCCGGGGAGCAGAAGGCAAAGGGGGGAGCCTGGACAGTCAAGAGGACCCAGTGCTGCTGTGCGTGATTCTGGGCGCAGACCAGAAAGCCGGATCTGGGGATGGGCCTCCCCAGAGAAAGCAGGGGTGAGAAGGCACACACGGGGCGCAGAGAAGGCTCAAGGAGGAAGAAACAGAATTGGAAATGTCATTCTGCCCTTTTGCTGACCCTCCAGGAGGCACAAGAAATCTAGAACAGGATAGGGGGGCTCCCCAAGAGCCGCCCAACTGGCAGGGAGCCGGACAGTCCTGGAATGCCACAGGTAGGCAGGGCCATGCCACTGTACCCCTGGCCTTCCTCTCTGACCTGGTCAGGGACCTCATCCTGGGCATGGAGTCTTGTCCTACACACGCGCAAGCCCTTCCCTCCCCGGCGTCCTCGGCCACGTCATAGGGAGTGGGGACCTCCCTCTGTCACTGACAGTCTGTCCGGCATTTTGCCAACCACCTCCCCCGTCCCAAGGCTGGCCCAGCCTTCATGGCTAGGATTGATTCCTTGGCCAAGAGACTTGGGTGGGCTGGGCTGGTGGAGGGACAGGGGCAGGAGATACAAGCAGCCAAGGAGGACAACACCTCTCTTTAACCAGCCCTTTCTCTGGAAGAATGAAAATAATTATAGTATCTTTTACCTAATAACAGAAAATTCGATAAGCTCCTCCTGGAGAATGGAAGAACGCCGTCTGTTGGTACTTTGGAAAAAGCCCCTGCAGTTCCCACCACACCCACCCCCGGACTCCCACCCCTTTCAACTCCACAATCCCCCCAAAACTTCCAACTTTGCTTCTCTGCCCTTCCGTCTGCCTCACCTTTCCTCCCTGGCTGTGTTGGGTGTTGGTGAGATGTTGGGTTTTTTCTTTTTTGCAATTTATCAGCAGATTGTGTGGAGCTGAGTGGCGTGAGCCTCACCCTGCTAAATAAAGCTTTGGTATTTCTGATAAAGCCATCAAATTCCTTATCACACTGACACAAAGTGCATTTAAAGAGACAGACACCCTGTCCCTCCCGCCCCACCAGCCCCTGCTCCCTCCACTCAGTTCAGATTTCCAGCTACTCAGGCTCTTTTGGATCAGACACCAAATACGGCCCCTGAGGATGTGGAGGGGCGAGGGGAGAGGGGACAGACTGGCTGCCCTCTCCAACTCCCACCCACCCATGCTGCTGGCACCCTGACCAGCAGCTCAGGTCCTTGGGGAATAGCATGTGCTTCCTGCCCAAGTCTGGAACCAGAAGGGAGCTATCAATAGACACGTCCTGCAACAGGGGATGTCCTCATAAACAGAACAATCCTGTGTTAGGACAACAGCAGCAGCTGGAGGAAGAGTCCCCGGTAGGCTGCTGGGCCTGGGAGGCTGCTCAGTCGCCCCTGAACACACCCAGTCACAGCCACAGCAGTACCAAAGGTGGGGGGAGGGGCGCCAGGATGGGGCCAAGAGGGCCCACCGGGGCCCACTCAACATGGAGCTGGCACTCGCATCAGGCTTGACCACGGGCTCAGCAAGCCCTGGCTCCTCACACAGCCCTGTGAGGTGGACAGAACTATCACCCCATTTGACAGAAGAGGAAACCAAGGTTGGCCAGAGACCGCAGAGCCCGTGGCAGGCCCAGCTGGGGCTCCAGGCCCAGGCTGGCCAACAGCTCTGCTGAGTGAAAGACACTCTTCCCCTCATTGAATTGCAGAGTGTACCCCTAGGCCAAGCTCCCGTCTGGCTCCCCTGTATTATCCCACAAAGACAGGCCTTCCACTGTCCCAGCGCCCTCTCCCACCTCTCCAGCCCTAGATCGGCAGCCCAGGCCCTGTGCCCACACACAGCCTGTTGGTTGAGGACTCAAATTTATTATTTTTAATTATTTTGATTTATCAAAGCAGCAGCTACAATCATATTAAACCAACTTGGCTTCTTGGCATTTAACAGATACAGCTGCCTCAGGACTCCCCCAGACTCCATAAAACACACAGCCTGTCCACCTGCTCCCCAAGGAGAGCGCTCAAGGCGCCTTCTCCAAGAACCCCAAATTTGAGGGCCACTAGCCCCTCTCTCCTGCCTTCCCAGAAGCACATGCAGCCCAAGTCACTGAGGACCAGACAGTGAGAATGGAACGAGTTGGGACAAAGCTGCCAGGTGCTTTTGAAAACAATCACCTCCATCGCCCAGCCCGGGAGACCCTTCCAGAGTCCTGACCTCTGGGGAGTAGAGTAGACCCAAGCACCCTGTCCTCAGCTGGCATTTGCCGGGGGTCTACACCATCCCGGGCCTGCGACTGGGCACTCAACATAGATGAGCCACATTACTCCTCAGACCCCTTCCCACAGGAGGAATCACTGACCCCTTTAGGCAAGGGAAGAAAGTGGGGCTCAGAGAAGGGAGGTGATCTGCCCGAGGTGCACAGCTCATAAAAACAGCCAGGCCAGAACTGAAACGGATTCTGATAGAGTGAAGAGCCCTCGTTCTTTGACCGAACTTCACTGCCTTCCCCTGAGAGCCAGGACCGGTGTTCCTGCCCAAGCTCCGTGGCTAGTGGAAGCAGGTGGAGAAGAGAAGGCCCCTGAAGTTCAAGGTGATGGCCCAAGTCTGCCCACACCAAGCAATTAGAATCTGGGCGCTCGGAAGAAGGGATCCTTGGGAGGCAGCAGAGTGGGGCAGGCAGCACCAAACCAACATATTTCCACAGGTGCCCAGGCCCATCCCAGAGCACAAGGGGAGACTGGCCCACCTGAAGGGCACAGGGTAAGGGGGGTACACAGGTGAGCGGGTTCATGGCTCACCCAGGAGCTGGGCTACGCCCTCGTTTGGTCCAATCCCTAGGAGTCCAGGAGTCTGTGGCACAGCGAAGCCAGAGCCAGCAGGGCACAGAGGAATCGGGCAGTTAAAAGTTCTAAGCAAACCTGCACACAAAGAGCACGGGCGATTCGGGTAGGCCTGGAATGGGCACCTCCAGGATTCAAGGGCGCCCCACCCAGTGAAGGCAGCTCTCCACCCCTTAGGAGAAGGCAAATCTTGTGAACATGGGCGGGGCTTCTTGGGGCGAGAGGTAGTGGTGCAGGGAGACAGAAGCGCAACGCAAGTCCTCTGACTTCATACATAAAAATTACAGGTGGCTGCCATCAAACCAAAAGCCAGGCTCCCGCTGGTCCCCACTGCACCGCCCAGAGGCCCTGCAGCCTGGTGTGAAGAGCTCGACTCTGGTTGCAAGTTCTGAGCTCTGATGGGTACTGATGGGCCTGTAATCTGGCCTCTATGAGGTTGAGTTTCCTTATCTATCAAATGTGAACAATGATAGTGCCTATGTCAGAGCGTTGTGGTGAGGGTTCGGGGAGACCACGAGCGCAAAGCTCTTAGCAAGGTGTCTACACATTTTCTATGTGCAAAAAGTGGTGGCAGTCATCGCCACCCTCCTCCTCCTCCTCCTCCAAGCACTTCTCTAACCAGGATACAGCACTAGGGATCGTGACTTTCGGGCTGGTGACAGCAGAGAGACTGGAGAGCAAGTGGGATGCTGCTGAACAGCCACCTTGCTATGCTCCCCCAAGAGCCTGGGGGAGCTCAGAAATGTCTAGAGGGGGCCCTGGTGCCTGCCCAGCAAACTGGCTAAAGCAGCCAACAAGTACCTAAAGTTTAAGGCAGGCGGAGGGGAAACCAGGAATGACTTGCGACTGTCACATTTGCCTATCAAAAAGTGTACATTCACTTAGCTTTCCATGGGGACTCATGCCCTAATATGGGCCCAGCAGCTTTCTGGGTTATTTCGAGTGTGTGTGATAATGACTCCAGGCTTTGCTTCTGCTGCCCCCAGAAAACCTTCTGTCTGGGGAGAGGGAGGATGGTTGGCAAAGAATGAGAAGGGCATAGGGACGCCCAAGGTCAGAAAGTATGCAGTACATGGGCACAGATGGGTAAGGCTGGGGATGGGAAGAGAAGGAGGCTGGAGGAGTGGGCTGACCCAGGGGCCATGGTGAGTTAGGGAGGACAGAGAGCTGGGTAAAGCAAGCCAGAGCTCCAAGAACCATGCCCCTTGCCCACTGTCTACTGCCAACTGTCCTGGGCAAATGCACCCAGCAGGACAGCAGTGGGGCCCGAAGCCTGCCTCCTCTCCCACAACTCCAGTGGAAAACCCTTTTGCACAGAGGCCAAGCTGGGCTTCTGGACCTCAGGCAACCACGCGATGCCTGGGGGCCCCTGGGCTCCTGGACTTATTTATGTATTAATGAGCTTCTGCCCAAGCGTGGCCCATCAACTTCAGACTGTACAGGGTTAACTCCAGATTGCGGGGGGGGGGGCTGGCTGGCTATGCCTTCACTCTACCTCAATTTCTACTGCTCCCATCACCTACCTCCCCCACCCCCTGATCTTAGGGAAAAAAAAACCCATCAAAATAACTATTTTATGTCTCCAAATATGCAGATCATTTTCTTTAATGAAAGATGCTTGACGTCTCCGATCCAATTAATATGCAAATGCAGGAGAGGATTTATTTGTGACATTCTGTCTGGGTGAGAGAAAACAAAAAAGGCCTGTTAACCAAAACACTAATTGCTGTGACTGATTGTCACATATCATCATTTTCATAGGATCTCCTCCATTCCCAGCTCTCAGGGAGCTTGAAACCAGGACTCATCCACGCAGCCATCAAGGAGAAACAGGGCAACCGGCTACCTGCCGGCCCCTCCCCACCAGACCTATGTCGGCGCCAATGAAGGTGGAGGTTCCCACTGGTTCTGGTCCCAGGGGGTCTGTCATCAACCTTCTACAGAACTTCGCCAGTCCATCTCCCTTCCTACGCCACCCTTCACCATGTAAGGCACTGATCTGCAGACCACAAGAGGGAGGCTTGGACCCCACTGGATGGGATGGGATCGGCTGGGGGAGGCCGCGCCCCTTCCTGTCTTCCAGCACAATTGCTTTTTGGCGGCCTGCTCCTAGAGGCCGACCCACGTGCAGAGGAAGGAGTGGGCACCGCTTTGGGTCCTCTTGTTGACCACCCTGCACTGTCGCTTCTCTTGCTTTTCCCGCTGTCTTACACGTTGGGGTCCCCACAGCACTTGGTGAGAGAAGCCACCTGAGGAAACGGAGGCATGGCATAGCATCCTCTCCAGAAGATGATACAGGGAGTCTATGGAAATGTTTGAAGACTACCGGGCACCCAATGCGGCTGGGTGGACACCTGCATGTTAACACCCCCACCCCAGGCCCCCGTGACCGAAATGAAGTGCACGGCTCAGCTGTCACAGCCTCGTCTCCCCTGAGTGGCTCAGTCTCTTCAATAGGACTGTGAGGCTTCCTTTAGGGACAGTGGGAGGGGAGTGAGTGCTGACGGGCATCTTTAGTCCCAAAGGCCAAGCGGGTACCGAAAAAGACATACGTTGCTCAAGATACCGGATAAAAGACAAGAGGGTTCTGGGTGCCACACAGTTCCCAATTCAAGGCCAAGGAATGGAAGAAGATTTGCTAAAGCAGCCTTCTTTCTACACAGGGACCTGTGGACAAGGAGCGACGGGCACAGACTTGGGGCCCCAGGAGCCTGGAAGGCTGATCTCTCACCGTTTGAGCGTAAACATTCCGGCACTCAAAGAAGGCCTCTTCTACCTTCTTGTCGCCTCTCTAGAACGCCCCCAAGTATCCAAGGACATTGAAAACGGAGAGTGGGGAGCCACAGTGAGCAAATGCAAAGGGTCCCTGAGCCCCTCCGTGAGTACAGAGCCCAGCTGAGGGCACAGTGAGGGGCTCTGCATCTTGCAGGAAAAGTTACGGTTGAGCCCAGACACTGTGGGTCAGCGAAGCAATAGCCCTCTAGTGGGCACCGACGTGGATCAGCCCAGGGCTCCACGGCTGCCCCCAGTGGGGTATGGTGGTGGCAGGAAGGTAGTCGCATCCCAGTTGACTCCCCAGTCTCCTGCTCTGGCCCAGCTGCCTCCCTCGGGCAACTCCACCGTGGGCCTCGGGAAGAGCTGGCGCCAGGGCAGCATGGGGCAG